AAATTTGTCGAACTACTCTCGAATTAGAAGGATGAGAGAGTTGTTTTAAGTGGTGCAACATCTCAAGACGGGAATGAGTTTACTTGAACAGTTGGTATGTGGCAAATTCTTTTATCAGTAGCAGGCACCGCAGTATTTGCCATCCTCGTGTTTAAAAGGACACTGATCTCATTGCCATCGCTTTCCGATTTCGTTGACTGTTCGTAGAGGAGGCAGTAGAGGGCGTATTTCAGCATATCTTGTGTGGTCATTTGAGCCATTTTCTACGTTCTTCCACATCTCCGAACCCACCTCAACTTAAATACACATCGGGGACAGAGAGAACAGGCTTCTCTCACCAACTCCGAGGCACTGTTTCATCCAAAGGTCGGTTTGATTATCAGGTGGTAGGAACGCGTGAGGAGCTTGCGTTGATCATGTGCTATCAAGTGGAGAAGTGCGCATTTCTATGGGATAGCTGTCAGTCACACAGCGGGTTGTGAGAATCTCAGTGGCACTCCACAGTACGTATTTAAGCGGACAAATGTTGTGCAGATGTGCGAAGAATGGCGGCACAACCGATAACAACCACTGATTTGCAGTCCTACCTCCTCTACTACCTCCTCTATCGTCAACTTTTGAATTCAGGTCGTTGTGGCAACTGGACTGGTGGATTTTGTTGATGCAAACGGTGCTTCCATGTTGGATGCACACTCAATTAACATCACTTAGTCACTTATACGAAGTTAAATAAAGATTTGTTCAATGTTTTCGCCTTCTCTCCCTTGCACCAACTGATGATGGGGATCGGAGAGTGCTGCTCGTCGAGCTCCCTTACAATTTGATGGTTAATAACTGCCTCCTCTCATTGAAGTAGAGATGTTGGGAAGTGTAACTCGGGTTTTTTTTTTTGAAAGAATTGGTGATGTAATCTGTCATAGTCAGGAGTGGTTTTAACAGCTTCCTTGATTGGTGATTACGAGGCGATCTAATTTGGGGTGCTACCGTCTCTAGTTAGGCTAGTACTCCTCCTGGCAATCTCCAGGCCATGGTTTGCCATCGAGCCATTTATTCAGACACTGTAACATTTATGCATTTCGCCTGGTGTCTCGAGGGATTTAGCTTTCACTGCTGGGAAAGCTGGCCTCATTTGCATTGCAATATGTCTTTCGTGCATTTCGCTAGTGGCGCTTCTCTCATAGAATTGGAGACCATTGGTCTGGCACTTTTCATCACCTCGGTCCCTTTCCACTTGATACAGTTGGAAATGCATTGTCTTCCCCTTCAGTTACTCGTGCTGTATAACACCGTTGCACCATCTGTCTTGCATTGTCAGTAAACTAATCGAAAGTCAAATGCAGCCACCCATATCTCCCTACTCATCCCTCCGTCCGACTCCTCTGCGCCGCCAACTTCGGCTACTTAAATTCTCTCTCTCTTTCTCTCGGTCTTACTTGAAAAAGGGGAAAAATGCATTGAGTACTAGATGGCCATTGGAGGGTGGGAAAAGGCGCTGGTTCCCACCCTCTCCTTCACCTACCTTGCCTGACCCTCCCCATTGTTTGCCTAGACTGGAAAGAGGAATAAAGGAAACAATGCACAGAGCCTTCTGGGATGTACAACGCTCCCACCTCAACGCTGATCCACCAAACTACGAGCCTGCCCTTGGTCTACTGAAGGAGATTAGACAGGTGAGGCGTCTAACCCTTTCCTTCATGCAACTGTGTAAGCCACTGGAATTGTTTTTCTTCTGTACCGGACTTTATCTGTTTTGTTACCTTTGTTGACATACTACCAACACTCCCTTCTTCACTCTTGCTGTTCTTGGTAAAAACAAAACTAGCAGTCTTTTTTATTGACAGTGTCCTAACTTGAAGTACTCACGAGATCTCAACATTTCTACTCATTACAACTTCACTGCTGAAGCACATGGATCTGTATAAGTTCAGCGGTAGTTTCTCTGGCCTAGTGAAGGATGTCACCTGTAACAGTCCACTTTTTAGTCCCTGGAAAGCTTGACCTTGCCGCATCAGACAACCCTTCGAGCGCAGATAGCGGAGCGTTTGGACATTGAGACAGCAGAGGCAGAGTGGCGACGCACTGGACACTTGCGATTGGAGGCTTTTGCAGAACCTCTTGTTGAAATGCTCGCTCAGTGGTGTGCACCTGTTCGTGATCCTGATGTTGCCCGTCTACGTGACATCTCCGATCCGATTGAGTTCTTTCGGTTGGTCTCTTGTCAATGCTTGTCCATTTCTGATTGGCTTTTGTTAACACATTGAAATCATCGGCGGTTGTACGGAAGGTCACCTTTCCATAACCTTTGTAACTTCACTTTTTCACCTGGAGTTTACTTTGCCGTGACTTATTTTCGCGTCCCCCCACAGCAGTACCAATGCGACTTTTCCGATTCCATCATGGGACTACTTCCATCTGATAGGTCTTGTCAACATAGCACAGTTTGAGCATTCTCTACTGCATGAAGGGTGCTCGTAAATACCTAGTCTGTTGTGACGGCCACCGAATGCTCCGAAATCGTTGTTGTTTTGGTGTGCTCCAACACGACATGCGAGGGCGCATTCAATACGGACGTCTACAATTGAGTGAGCTAGAGCTGTGGGACCACCCCACAGGGAGTTCCACAACCACGCATTAGATTACAATTAGCTCAACTCGAGGTCATAAATCCCTTCAGCATCTTGAAATGTTGGCAAACAAGTTAATCATCCACCTTTGCTGTTCAATAAAAGTACATATCAGTCAAGGCCGTCGAGGGTTTTCTTGTTTTTTTTTGCTAACCTGAGGTCACAAACATGTGAAAATGTGGTAGTCACGTTTATTTTTTGCTGATTGGACACGTTTGGAGGGATTCATTTTGGGATTTTGGTGAATGCCTCCGGGAGGCGATGCCCTTGAGTGGGTGGACAGGCTGCTGCTCTCTAATTGGCGCGTAGATGAGGTGCTGAATGAACTACAAAATAGACTGCTTTTTCGAGTCTGAGGTGATTCATTCCATGCCTTTCTCTTCGTCCAGACAAGCCTTCGCGGTGTTGGAATTGATGCATATGGATTTGGCTAACTTCACTATCCGAAAGATGCGTCCCTACATTCGTCAGCAGGCCGGAGAATATGAACGGGAGAAATTTGACACCCTCCTCAAGGTTCAAGAAAGTTAGTGCTCTCTCCTTTTACGAGGTTTATTTTACTGCACTTATGACTGTAAATAATGTTTGGGGATTTCCTCCAATCCACGGAATACGTATTTCAAACGATGGAGACATCGAATTCACACACTAATAAGCATTCAAGTCTCAAGGCTCTCCTCGACAAGGTCTATGTTTTAATGGCACCCGTTGGAAGGTATCACACCCCCACTTGTAGAGGTGACTGTGCTGTGAAAAAACAATGGACACTGTGCGCTGCTTGGGAATTTTTCTCTTGCCTTTCACATTGTGGATCCAGAAGTCGTGATTTTGCTTGAGCGCTCTTTGCTGTCTACTAATACAAGCTCCCTTCTATCATGTGTCTGTTTGCTGTCTTCACAGAAGCTGGAATTGACGGCTTGGCGATCACACGGGAGTGGATTCGTGAGGCTTTTGATAATTTGCAGAATCAAATGGCATCAGGTGCACCCTTGGCTCCTCCCACGCCGAATAACATTCTTCGTGAGGCCTATCTGGCCTTGCTGGTATGGGAACCGAATCGTGAATTCCCTGAGGTAAGTCAACCTCCCTTACACTTGACTGTGGGGTGGAGCACATCCCTCCCTTACTGATTTT